TTTGCAAAGTGAATTCCTTCTACACCACACTGGAGTGTACAGAATGAGAAAGCACAGCTCTCTCTACTCAGCGGGACTGCTGAAGGAGTAGTGTTTAACAGCCGTTTAAACAGTCCTGCTCTATTCAGAGCACAGTCTGCGGTTCTCTCAGGTGATTTCATTCTCCTTTGTTTTCCTGGGTCAAGATGTCCATCACCAGTCAGCCAAGACCTCCAATCACTGCACTTACAACTTTCTCCCCCATGTTAGCTTAGCTTTCTTGTAGTCACTGTGGAATCTAGATGGAGACAGGGATAGAAGTTTGTGACTTGATACCATCCTGACTGCAACACTGTGGCCAGGTACCCACGGATGGGCTCATGCTGTCAGCTCCCCCAGGTCCCTCACGCAGAGAGGTTCCTATGGCAGAGGCTGGGGACAGGGTCTTGGCCACCATAACTCACAGTCTAGCTCTTTACCTACCATGACCACTGCTATGTGGCAAAGCCCTATACATAGCCCACTGTCATCACTTGTTTTCAAAAATGCTAACTGCAATAAATAAGTTCCAAGTTTTCAGAGGGATATCACTACGAAGCAAAGCACTGTATACAAGAATGTGAGGGAATAAACAAGAAGAGTTAGAATAGAAAATCAATAAAACCAAAAAATGGTATTTTGAAAAGATGATGAAGTTGACAAACTTTCTGATGGGCTGAGAAAAAAGGACTAGGGAGACGTCCTAGGGAGTAAGGACTGTACAGAGTCCAAACATAGGACCCCAGAGTCCACACAGTCAGAGGTGGTCATGTGCATCTGGAATCCCAGCACTCCATGGAGAGATGGGAGTCAGAGACAGGAGAATCCCTGGAAACTCACAGGCCAGTTAGCCTGTTACACACAGTGGGGAACAAGAGACCCTGATGCAAACAAGGTAGAAGGTGAGGACATCAGACCTCTTCATATACAGTGTGCAAGCACTCATGTGCATTAAAGTACACATCACACAAAAGAAATAAAGACCTGAATTACTAAAACCAGAAACAAAAGAGGATGTTACTACAGGGTCACAGAAATAAAAGGGTCATGAGGACACTCTATGGAAACTGGATGCTAATAAGATGAACAAATTACAGAAAAAGCAGAATCTGCTCAAACTGAATCAAGACTAAAATAGATGTAACAAGTAAAGAGACAGAGTGAGCATTGACAACAGGACTGGAAAGTTGGCTCAGCAGAAAACAGCAGTAGCTGCACAAGCCTGATGACCCGAGCTCAGCAGCTGGAGCCCATGGTGGCAGGTGACACCAACAGCTGAAAGTCTCCTCTGATCTCCACAGCCCACCATGGTGTGCTTGTCACACACACGCCCCCCCCCCACACCCCACACCCCCACCACACAAATAACACATACACACCACACACATACCATACACACATACCACACACTCACACACACACCACATAGACAAACACACACAACACACACACACACCATACACTCACAATAATAGTAAACAAAATAAAAATTGAACAGTAACAACAACATAAAAAAGAACTGCTCACAAAGACAAGCCCAGGACCTGAGTTTGGACTTCAACACCCATGATGGACAGTTCACAGCCACCTGTAACTGGAACACCAGGAACTCTAATGCTCCCTCTGACCTCTGTGGTCACACACATGGTATATATACACCCACACAGACACATAAATAAAAATAAAAATCTTAAAAAGACGAGCCGAGTATGATGGCATACTCCTTTAATTCCAGCATTCCAAAAGCAGAGGCAGACAGACAGACCTCTGAGTTGAGGCCAGCCTGTTCTACATAGTGAGATTCTTTCTCAAACAAAGAAACAAACAACAAAACACATATTGGCTTGGGCTAATATGACTACCTTAATAAACTGTAACAAATGCTTAAAAACTACTGAACACCAATCCGTCACAAATTCTTCCAAAAACAAGAGGAATATTTCCATAATAGTATCTATTTTTTACAGCCAGGACTAATGCATGCTGGGTAGAAGCTCTACTACTAAGCTATGCCTCCAGTGTGCCTATACCACGAGCATTTTAGAGGTCAGCATTATCCTGACACCAAAACTACACAAACTCTCCACAGGACAGAAAGCCAAAGGTCAATAGTCCTCAGGAACATGGACATAAACCCCTCAATAGTACCGGCTAGCCAAATCTAACAGCATATACAACACACACACAGGGTTACATATCATTATGGCATAGGATCTACCCCAGGAACAGTGCAGTTCAATTTGTGTCCACTGGACTTGTGTTGCTGCTGTAACAAAACACCCCGGAAATAAAATGGAAGAAAGAGGCAGGTGTGGTGATGTGTGGTGGTTCCCCATTGGTTAGTTAGGGGCAGGTTAGGGCAAGCCTAGTTTATATACAGAGTTCCAATGAGACCCCATCATAAGCAAACAAACCACATTTCACATACATTTCATATCACATTTCACATATAAAATAATTAGGAAAAATGTTTTTGGGGGCCAGTATATAGAGAAACAAAATCCTCATACTCTGCTGGCAGAGTACGAAACAGAAAACAGGAAGTTCCCATTCTTTAAACAGCGAGCCATCCTACAGGAAAGCAGGAACCCTCACCAGAGCAGAGGACCCGCAGAACTGAAATGTGTCCCCTAAGATTTTCACATAAATGTTGGTGGGAGCCTCCACAGTAGCCAGAAAGTAGAAACAAGGCAAATACCTGGAACTGAGGCACGGATGAACTGTGGCCTCCACTGATGGAGTGTTATTAGGTCATAAATATGAATGAAGAACTGAGGAGTGCTAAAACATGAAAGAACTCCGAGCATGCAGGGCAGTGGTGGCATACACCTTTAATACCAGCACTCGGGAAGCAGAGGCAGGAGGATCTCTGTGAGTCTGAGGCCAGCCTGGTTTACAAAGCAAGTTCCAGGACAGCCAGGGCTGTTACACAGGGAAAACCTGTCCTGAAAAACCAAAACCAAAATCAACCAAACAGAAAAGGCCATATACTTATCAGGGCTCCACTTCCACGCAATGTATAGAATAGGCAAATATGAAGTGATCAGCAGCAGTGACAGGCTTAGGGGCTTGAGGCTTCTGAGGGCAAACAGAATCCAGTAATTAGAGAATCTGCTCTTGGGATGATGAAAAACTCTAGGATTGGGCAGTGGTAATGCACAACTTTGTGGATATAGTAAAAATCACTGTGTACTATCCTATAGAAGAGTAAGTTTTAGGTATGTGGGTTATAACTCCTTTTTTTGTTTTTTTTCTTCTGTTGAAACAAGGTTTATGGAGAACTTGCTGTCTTGGAACTATGGTAATTACAGACATCCACCTGCCTCTGCCTCCTGGGTGCTGGGATTCAAAGCATGCACTAGTATACCTAGCATCTCTTTTTTTCCTTTTTGTGTCCATTTAGCTCAGGCTGGCCTTGAACTCACTATGTAGTAGCAGAGGATAATCTTTAACTCCTTCTTTGTCTACCTCCTTGAATGCAAGGATTAGCACACCTGGCCTTTTTGATTTTTGAAACTGGATCTTATTCAAATTGCCCACCATGACCCTGGTCTCACTCTGCAGCCAAGGCAATCCTTGAGTTTGAGATCCTCCTGCCGCAGTCTCCCAAGAAGAGAGGGTTACAAGCCTGTACTATCTGGCATGGCTGAATAAAAACTCTTAAATAATATAAAGCCATTAGTAAAAGAAGAAAACAGGAAGGTGTTGACAGTGACGTAGAAAGGACTCCACCTGGGTGCAGGCTGCCTTCGGTGCCAAGCAAGTGCAGCAGTGATCGTCCTCTCCATCAGGACGTGCCAACCAACCTGACAGTCCTGTGGTCAGTGTGCTACCTCACATGGAGGAAACGCACAGCTTGATGGCTGTGGGACACCCAGAACGGAGACAACCACGACTGTTCTAGATTCGTTCCTGCCTCCATAAGAACGTCTTCCCCACCCCTCTTGATTCTACATGAGGTAACTTCACATATTTTCCAACAAAGTCACAAAGCAAGAATGGGCAGGAGATGAGCAATGGCCCCTCACATAAAGTAGTTTTTTGTTTGTTTGTTTTTTAGCTTTTCAAGACAGGGTTTCTCTGCGTAACAGCTCTGCTGTGTGGGATTAAAGGTGTGGGCTACCACGCCCTGCCTATGTTTGTTTGGTTAATTATGTGTTTTTATGTGTATAAGGTGTTTGCCTGCATGTATGTCTGTGCACTGCATGTGTGCCTACTGCCCAAGAAGATCAGCAGAGGACGTTGGATCCCCTTAAACTGGAGTCAAGGATGGTTAATGAACTACCATGTGAATGCTGGGAACTGAGCCCCAGTCCTTGAGTAGAGCAGCCAGTGCTCTTGACCACTGAGCTATCTCTCTTCATATAGTTTAAGAGAAATATACTTAGTACGTGAACCAAGCATATTTAGATCTTTGGAAGCAATTAACAGAAAGCCATTGTCAGAACACACTATAAACTGAAATCCCACAGGAGCCGGGAAGTAGGTTTGGGGATAGGGCAGGGCTGGAACTGAAACCCCACACGATGGGCAAATGCTCCACTAACCTCAGAAACAAAGCTCTTAAGACCAGGAAAGGCACTCACAGAGCAGTAACACCAGGACTGCGGCTGCAGCTCAGTGCACAGTGCTTCCTCGGCATTTGTGAGGCCCTGAGCTCAGTTTCCAGTATTTCGAGGGAAAACAACAAAACCCACTGAGAACAGATATCTCCATGGCAACACTTTATGCAGATTTTACTTTCTTCTTTGTATTTTTAAATAGTGTTTAATTTTTTTAAAGGGTAATTTTCATTTGGTGACAAGTCATATATTTTTATTTAAAAAGGGCAAAAACTTGTGCTGGCTCAGATAAATCTCGAATAGCCCGTTTAGCTCTAGAATACTGACAGGGCATACCTCTCCATGCGTCCCTGGAAGGCACCCTAACTAACAGCTTCCCTCTTACTACGAAGCAAGTTCTGTCCAGTTGGCTTTGCTTACCTGCACAGGTGGCTCAATCATGATCCAGGCCGGAAGCATCAGACTGGGATTCAGAGGCTGGGTTCCAACACGGAAGTAAACTCCACCCTTGGAGTCACAGGCCCAGACATGCTGATTGCCACATGCCAAGCTGGTCAGTCTTACAGTTCCTGCAGAGACACAACGTACACGGATCTTTCAGCCGCTGTAGAAACTACTTCAGGGGAAGACAAGAGGCCACATCTGCAGCTGAATGCTGGTGTGTGTCATCTGTTTCTCCTTCCACATTGGGTATGAAGCCTTGGCTTAGCTGCCTGGTGCCTCAGAGCATCCTATGTAGGCTTTTGGCTTAGTAGCCATGATGTCATCAAGCACAGTACCCTGAGATATCGAGCAGGGGATAAACATCTCCATGTGAGCTCCCCATTAACTTCATCCAACATGTGACCACTGCTAGTAACTTCTGGATGTCTGGAAAAGGGACTTTTATTTACCAGAATTAAGAATAAATCTCCTAAAGAACCTGCACTTTATTATTTATTTATTTATCTATTCATTTATCTATCTATTTATTTATTTATTTTGATGTTTCAAGACAGCGCTTGGATCAAGGATAGCCTTGGCTATCCTGGTACTCACTTTGTAGACCAGGCTGGCCTCCAACTTAGGGAAACAGGCTGCTAGCCATAAGAGGGAATGAAATGGAAAGAGTTAAAAAGAGAAAAAGTTGTGCTGGAAGGATGTGGCTTAACAACAGATCACTTGAAAAAGCACCTCAAGAAAAATCATAAATTGTATTTGATAATAGTCTAGCAAGTAAAAAGTACAGCTGTCAAGTTGCTTGGTATCTACGGTAAGGCAGGCTTTCAGCCAGGTCTCTCACAGCCTCATTTCAAACCTGACCCCACGATAGACACATGGTTTGCACTGGAGAATGGCAGGATCCAGCCATTAGGGAATTTGTCCTGGGTCACAGGCCAGGAGGTGGCCAACCAAAGAGACAAAGAAGGACAGCAGGTTTGAACTCAGGCCGGCTACCTCTGACCTCCAAGTCTATAAACAACAAATGTACAGATAATGTTCAGGGTCAAGTCCAGGTCTGGCAAATTAATCTACCAGAACCACCCATACCTTACCAAGATATGGAACATTCTGTCTCCCTAAGAATCTCCTCAGGTCCCTCCCTGCCCATGGACTCTACTTGAAGCCAAGGTCTCAAACATCCCAACCTGCCCTCACACTTGCTATGTAGTCAAGGATGACTCCAGACTGACTTCTACCGCCAGAGCTTAGAAGGGTCTTCTAGGGTTCATACAGGCAGAACCAAAGCCCAGGTGTCACAGCAGGAAGCAGCCTCAGGCTGAGTCTCTCCCTTTGTTGCTAAGTATCACTGCACTGTACACAAATGCCTGTTTCTGTATTTACCTATTGGTGGACATTGGGGTCATGTTTGCTATTAGAACAAAACTGCTATACCCACTCTTACCTAAGTTTTGTTTTCTTGTGGCAAGGCAGGCCTGACAGTGTACACTTGTCAGCCTTGAGGCTGACGCAGTGGAATTATGTTTAAAGCTACCCTGGACTGCACAATGTCTCAAAAGGACAGTGAGGGAGCAGAAATATATATTACTTTTCTCTTATTTCTGAGAAGATTTTTAAATTACTTTCATGTGTGTTTTGCCTGCACTTATGTATGTAAGTATGCCATGTGTGTGCAGTGCCTGAGCAGGGCAGAGCGAGGTGGATCCCCTGTAAGTAGACAGATGGCTGTGAGTCACCATGTGGGTGTTGGGAGCTGAAGCCAGGTCCTCTGGAAGAGCAGCCGGTGTTTTTAGCTGCTGAGCCGTCTCTCCAGCCACTATTTTTTTTTTTTTTTTCATATAGTAGAACTTTCAGAACATAGGGTAGGTAGATGTCTTACTTTATAACTTTTTTATACTTTTAGAAAGTTTTTTTTTAAAATCAGATTTATTTTTATTGTATTTTATGTGTGTGTGTGTGAGAGAGAGAGAGAGAGAGAGAGAGAGAGAGAGAGAGAGAGAGGTTGTGGTTGTGTATGATTATGTGAGTGTGAGTGCTTGCAGAAACCAGAGGCAACAGATCCCTGGAGCTGCAGTTACAGGTGTTTGTGAGCCACCTGACACGGGTGACTCAGGTGCTACTGAAGCTGGGTCATCCACTAGAGCAGCACGCTCTTAGACACTGAGCCATCTCTCCAGCCCCTACATTCAAATGTGTGTAAGTGTGTAGGTCATAAGTCAGAGGTCAACTTGTAAGAGTTGATTCTTTTCTTTTACCACATGGCTCAGGGGTGGGATCAGGTCATCAGGATTGGCAGCATCACTTTCAAAGAGAATGCCAGTTTGGACAAGTTGCACTGTTTTACATACCTACGAGCAGGGTTAAGTGCAATACGGCTGCTCACATCCTTATTAACAACTAGGGTTTTTGTTTTAAGACCTCATCTCATGAAAAGCCGTGCAGTGGTGTTGCATAATTTTAATACCAGTACTCGAGAAGCAGAGGTAGACAGATCTGAGCTCAAGGCCAGTCTGATCTACAGAGTGAGTTCCAGGACAGCCAGGGCTACACAGAGAAACCCTGTCTCCTCATGTATCTCAGGCTACCCTCAACTTGCTATGCAGCCAAGGAAGACCTCGAACTTTTAAGGCTCCTGCCTTCCCCTGCAGTGCTGGGATTGTAAGCACACAGCAGCACGCTCAGTTTCTGTGCTGCTGGGGAGAGGATGGAGGACTCATGCATGCCAGGGAAACACATTAACACCCGAGCTAATCCTCAGTCTCCCCGCTAGATTTTTAAAATTAATAAAATTAACAAAAGCTTGTTTTATTCTACTGGCTTACCTGCATAACTACTATAGCCACATACAGAAAAAAGAATGGTATCTTCTTTCTTTTCTTTCTTAGACAGAGCCTTTTTAATTTGTTTTGAGACAGGGTCTTACTCGAGCTGGACTCCAATTTACTATTTAGCCAAGAGATCACCTTGACTCGTGATTACAGGAGTGTAACTCTGGTCCTGGAGCTCCTCCCAGGCCTCAAGGTGCCCCTCATGCTCCCTTCCCCTGAAAGTGTGGGCTGGGATACATGTGGCAATCAGCTCTCCAAGAATCACAGCAGTATCACCTGGGTAGCCATTGCACAGCTCACATCCCATCCACCCAGCTGACCCTGGACATTGACTGCACTCCTTGCATACCTATGCCAAGATGCCTACCTCACCAGCAAACCGAGGTGTTCTTGTAGCACCCAGCCATGGAATGAAGTCACAGGACTGTGAATGATCAGCCCTTGTTTGGTCAGATTCTGGATCTGCTGATGGGATCTGGCACTGACAGCATCATTAGAATCCTAGCACAGGCCTTTTGCTACAATGGAGGATACTGGAGAATACCCTCTTCTGGATGGAGCATCCTCATGGCAATGGTGAAGAAAAGAACTCACTCTGGTCAGGCTTCTCCCATCACTGGGTATCTTTTCAATGTCAGCCAATTAAATTATAACTTGTCATAGCTTTAATTTGAGAGTTTCTGCTAAGGAATGAATGATATTGAGAAGCCTTTACTGTGCTTATGGGCCAACTGTATGCCTTCTGTGAACAAGCATTCACAAGTGAACACACGCATGTCAGGTGTGGTGATGTAAACCTATAATCCCATTACTCTAGACCAGTGGTTCTCAACCTTCCTAATGCTGCAACCCTTTAATACAGATCCTTATATTGTGACGACCCACAACCATAAAATTATTTTTATTGCTACTTCATAACTGTAATTTCACTAGTGTTATGGATTGTAATATAAATATTTGATATGCGACCTCTGTGGAAGGGTCATGTGACCCCATACCTGTTGTGACCCACAGGGTGAGAACCATTGCTCAAGAACTAGACACAGAAGGACTGCCACGAGTTTGAGGTTAGCTTTGTCCGTAAAGCAAATCTCAGGCCATCTGAAAGCTACACAGCATGATATGTGTTCACTTATGAATGCTTGTTCCAGTCTTCATTGCATTTTAAAAGCGGAGCAGACAAAAGCTCGAGTTCTCTGCATGGTCTGGATGTCAGTGTTTGCCAGGCATGTTTGTTACGAATCTATCTGTACCTTACCCTTTCCTTTTCTTTACTGTCGGAAGATAAGTTTTTAATTTTGATGAGTCACTTTGACCTTTGTGCATGGCAAAAATATGGTGCTATTAGCTCAACTGGCAGTGCAGGGGGCTGGGTGGATACAGTTGTCAGTGACATGAGACCACTAACAACCTTGTGACTGCATCAAAACAAGTTCTGCATGCGGAAAGTTAGTGATGTAGCATCATGACATAAGCTTAACTATTCATCCCTTCCTACAGCCTTCAGAATTGTCCCTTATCTCGGCTCCCCATCTACAGCTTCAGCTGACTAGTAAAAACATTAAAGTAAAACAAAACAAAACAAAAAAAACAAGGCTGGGAAGATGGCTCAGAGTATGGATACCCAGCACATAAATGCTAGTCTGATGTCCAGCACATTAGACATGGAGTCAGGGGATCTCTCTGGAGCAAGCTGGCTAGCTAGAGCAATCAAACTGATGTGTTCCGGGTTCAAATCAAAAGAGCCTGCCTCCATATATAAAGTGAAGATACCCAATGTCAACCTCGGCTCCCCACATGGGCATGGCTCCCGAAGCCCCACCCATGTGTACCACCCCCCCCACACACAATACACAAATATATAAGTGAAGAAGCTGCACTGTACTGACCTGACATGTATGCACAGATGTTTTCTTGTCATCCTTCCTAAAACAAGGCAAAACAAGGAAAATTCTTCCCACAGCACTTGCACTGCATTAGGTTTAAGGCACATAGGTGACAGGAAATCCCGAAACATTTTATATGTTAGGGATCTGTGCATCATTGCACTATGGTATCTAGAAAGGACCAATTACACCAGGATACCAAAGAATGAGTGTGCTGCCTTGCATTCTCCCTACCCCTGGTAGTTTCTCTTATTCTGTAATTTAATTCTGTAATCCTGACATTACACATGGAAAGTTCATGATAAAGTAGCTTCCACAATAGTGTATAGTACAAAGGCTAACTGCAAGACAATTTTATGCTGAATCTATAATCTGCCAGTTGAGAACTTCAGGCAGTAGCTGAACTGCTAATAGTCACATGGGGACAAAAACACACTGGGCGGGCTCTAAGAGTTGACAACTAAGGATCACACTACCAGTAGAATGGGAGTTCACAGAAGATGAATATATACATGTTTAGAGAAAACAAAGCCTACTGAATACACCCTTCAGAGTACACTGAGAATTCAAGAACCAGGTCAAGGACAAAAACAACTTCGTTGAGGGCTTATGTTTTTGAAGCTTTTACTTTAGGTGTTGTAAGTCTGTTCCACAGGGTGGGGTGACAGAGCCTCCTCCCTGCAAACCCCCTCTGTGCTCCTCATGTTCCTCCACAGCCGGCAGCTGTGACAGCTCGAGTAAACAAGAGTGATCTGCCACTTCGCAACTACACTTCCTCCTCAGCTCTTCCCTCCCGTGGGATACGATGTGCAGCCACGGAGCAAAGCACCCAGAGCAGCGCCCTCTCACCAGTGTGCTCTTCGGAACAAGGAGCCAAACAACTTCCCAAGCAGCTGATGCCCGGGGCTTGTGAATGAGGGGGAGCCCAACCTGACAACCTCCAGTTTATTTGCTTCGTCAAGGAGAAAATCTTTTAGTTACTTTCTTCACAAAAAGACACTTTCCTCTTAAAATTGCTGTTTAAAGTGTGTGTGTGGCCCGGCAGTGGTGGCGCACGCCATTAATCCCAACACTCGGAGGCTGAGCTCAGCAGGTGGATCTCTGTGAGTTCGAGACCAGCCTGGTCTACAAGCGCTAGTTCCAGGACAGTCTCCAAAGCCACAGAGAAACCCTGTCTCGAAAAACCAAACAACAAAATAAAAACAAAGTGTGTGTATGTGTGTGTGTGTGCGCGTGCGTGTGTGCACGTTGGTGTCTCTGTGTGTGACTACACAGCACAGCCTATCCTCAAGCTTGCACGTGCCCCACTCAGTTGAGAATACAGGAATGCACTGTCATCCTCTACTATAGAATCTTTTTAAGTATGTGGTATAAAATAATAGCATTTGCTTGTTGTCTCCTAAATCATAAAACACTTCTTCACATAAATTATCACCTGATATAAGCTTATTTGTTACCTAAAGGCACAAGCTGACACCAAATATGTTTTCATTACATTCTGTGACCAGATGAATTAAACTACAAATTGCATCAGTTTGCTAAACAGCCTAGTGCCTGACATGCATATTTATGAATAATGGGAAATGAAATGTTATGAACATCTTAAATATTTGCTAAGTGATGCACATTTTCTTCCAAAAACCAGGATTGTAATAAATCCCTGTAAAATTCCATGATCTATCTCTTTAACTGGGTTCAACAGACAGCCATTTAGTAACTCTCTTAATTTGTTCCTTTTCCTGGCTGCTGTGGCTGTTTTGATATCAGTGCAGTCTAGGCTGGCCTTGAACTGGTGATCCTAGTGCCGCACTTCCTGAATTACAGGTGCAGCCACTGTTTTGGCAATCACACAGTTTGCAAGGGTGAGAAGGAGAGGAGGCAACGGGTCTAGGCAGACAATGCTCACCAAATCTCAACAGCTGCAATTGCTGTGGGGGCACAGGTGCCATGGTGCACGTGGAGGAGTCAAAGGACAACTAGCAGGAGTTGGTCCTCTCCTTCCAGGGTCAGACTCAGGTCATCAGGGGTGGTGTCAAGTACCCTCTGAGCCATCTTGCTGGCCTTAATTAACTATGTAAAGCTATTTCTTGGGACTGGAGAGATGGCTCAGTGATTAAAAGCACTGGCTGCTCTTACAAAGGTTCAATTCCCAGTACCCACAACCATCTGTAACTCTGGCTCTAGGGGATCCAAGGTCCTCTTCTGGCCTCTGTGGGCGCCAGGTGTCAATGTGGTGAACAGATATACATACATACAGGCAAAACATCTACACACATAAAATAAAAATAATAAACTTTATAAAGCAACAAAATCCTAATCTCTCCCCCCCCTTACCCCCCATCCTGTTTTGAGACATGGTCTCACTGTGTAGTGCTGACTGCTGACTTGCCTAGAATTCTCTGTGTGCTGGGATCTTGACCACCTGCTTTTCCCACTGGATACACAGCCATACCTGGAGAGAATGCAGTACAGGACAGCCTAGTATCTCCAGTGGCAGCTGAGTGTCCCGGATGGCACAAGTGAAGGCTTCTGGTATAATGGCCAACCTCCCTTCCCACTAAGCTCTGCCTAATCCCCCTTGCCCCAACACCAAGCCTACCAGTTAGATGCAAGCCAGTGCTTCAGGATTCTGAGAAAATGATTCCAAGAGTCTATTACTTTTGTATGTTTATATTATATATATAATATATAAACAATATATATATTGGTTATATGTATATCAGTCACGTAAAAGCACAGAGCAGGTCACAAACTTGAGAGAGGCAGGGCTTCAGTACACAATACGGTGGTGTATGCCAATCAAGTGGTTTAAGTGCGTACTCACCAGCCCAAAGGCCGGAGCTACTACCAAGGTCTACGAGTCTTCCACAACAGGATGAGAGACATCTCACATTTGGACAGGAGATTCACTGGGGTCATTTGGGAGGAAAACTGGTGGGGTGACCTTATGGAGGGACTGATTTGGGTAAAATGGCTCCATTTCCAGCTGAGTGACCACAGACTTCCCTAGCACTCAAGGTTTGGTAGTGAGGAGAAAACATGTTAAACCCTGACTTTCCTCAGAGGCACTAGCAGCCTCCCTGCATGGTCTGGTAGAGCCTGCTGGAGAAAGGCTCAGGATCAGTGAATCTCTGGGCAGATGAAAGAACTCCCAGGCCAGGCAACAGGCTCAACTGGCACCCATGTCCAGGTCACAACTAGATGCAGTCTTGTCTGGATGACAAATGCCCTTGGAAAAGTAGATGACCTGTAGACCTCAAAGCAGGGTATAAATAATCTCAATTCCTATGGAAGTTCCTAGCTGTTCCACACAGCTAGATTTCACAGCAGACTGGGTCATACTCAGGCCTTACCTCTTCTAACAGTTTGCAGAAGCCCCATTGCTAAGAGCCACTGGCCTGGCCCAGGCCCACTAGGACAAAGCATACTTTTGAGGGGTGGCTGTCCATGTAGGTCAAAGTAGGAGGCCGCTCTTCCTCCTCTCTTCCTCTACCCCTTCTTCTCATGTAGCTGACTTATTATACATTAAACACTTATTCAAGTCCACAAAATACTGGCTGCCAGTGTACAACAATGTCTACTTCCTAGACAGTATCATTGAAGTTCACGATCAGACCCTGGGAGCTGCCTAGTATATAGCCCAGGCCTCCAATATCAGACAAACCACAGGAGTTGCTGAGTCAACCGAGAATATACTGTTGTGAGCTCATTTTATCATCACTCAGAGTGTGAAATATTTCCATGTGTCATCATAGGCTATGCCTACTGTAAGTCTTGGGACAGTCCACAGTGGCTACTATCAGCACAGTACTGTTTAACTGCCTGAAAGAGAACCCACATGGCACAACTGTGTGTGCAAGAGCCCACAGTGGGCACTTTTCCAGATGCCATGACATAGACAGTGTGCACTGATCCAGTCACAGGACACAGACACAATTCCAGATCAAAAGATCAGAGAGAACAGGGCAGCTGTCCCATAATCCTACACAGATCTCAGTGGCACCTTCTGGACACCTCACAGTTCCTTTGGTTCTGAGCAGTGCAAACTGCAAGGAGCGAGGCAGGTGAAGCTCTCCACAGATTTAAGAGGCTCCTTTAACTTGGATAAGTGGCCAGTTACGCAGTAAACCCAGCAACCGACAACCAGCCCCTGGGAACCCACTTCCATACCAAGGGAAGCACTCGCACCCTGGCCATACCTAGCTGGGAAAGGTCCAGTCTTGTCCAGTGCATGCCTGTGGGGCAGCTCTTAGAAAGAGTCCTGATGAACACCTGCCCAAGGTTGTCCAAGGCCCACAGTGCATCCCGGCAGGCAGCGTAGGTCCTCATGTCCACGTCGGGGGGCAGCTGCACTGTGGAGGGGCGGCACTGCACACTCTGGGCACTGATGTTACACAGGTCCTTGCTGCTCTGGCACAGCCACAAGGAGCTTCCTACAGAAAAGGTTCACACTTGTCATCAACACTGTTTCACTGAGCCAATGGCCCTAAGTGCACAGCACAGCCTTTCTCTTCAGACGGAGCCCAGATACCTGGCGGCCACTGTCTCTGCCTGGAACTCCTCATTACCTTACAGGCTGCAGGTGCATTATACCTCTGATGTTAGAAGGACCACCACCATCAGACATTAAAAAGCTCAAGCCTGACACACTTTAAAGAACTGGAAAGAAAGCAGGACTTTGAAACATTATAAGGCTAGAAGGCTGGGGTAGTGGCTCTGACCTCCATTTCTTTTTTTTTTTTTTTTTTTTTTCCCCTTGGTTTTTCGAGACAGGGTTTCTCTGTGGCTTTGGAGGCTGTCCTGGAACTAGCTCTTGTAGACCAAGCTGGTCTCGAACTCACATTGATCCGCCTGCCTCTGCCTCTGCCTCCCAAGGGCTGGGACTAGAGGCGTGCACCACCACCGCCCGGCAGACCTCCATTTCTTATGGCCCAGGATTATGAATGAAGGCCTCAGAGCTCATTTTTAATGCAAAATATTAGGGCTGTCAACTTTGCCAATGCTCAGGAAGCAGAGGGGCCAGCCAGCCCTGGGGAAGGCACTTCCCTAGTTCCTCTGCTAATGGGGGTCTGCAGTGGGCAGCTAAAGAAGGCAGAAATCCTCCTCCCACCCTGGCCTCAAGAGTTATGCTTGCAGTCCTCTGTTGTTTTGGAATTCTTTAATTTGTTTTGAGCTTTTTTTTTAATATTGATTTTTATTTTGTGTGTATGAATGTTTTGTTTGAATGTATATCTGCATCATGTGTATACTTGGTACCCATACCATGAAGGCAGAAGTTATTATATGTAACTCTTCCAACTGGAATTTGAGATAGTTGTGAGCTGCCATGTGGGTGCTGGGAATTAAACCTGAGTCTTCCGGAAAAGCATCCAGTGCTCTTAACCATGGATCCATCTCTCTAGTCCCCCCACCCTTTTTTTTAATTAAAAAGACAGCAGGGCATGGTGGTGCACACCTGTAGTCCCCAGCACTGGGGAGGCAGAGGCAGGTGGATCTCTGAGTTCTGAGTTCAAGGCCAGCCTGGTCTACAAATCAAGTTCCAGGACAGCCTGGGCTACACAGAGAGCCCCTGCCTTGAATAACAAAAAGCAAGCAAACAAACAAACAAGATCTTGATACGCAGTAAGAGTCAGCCAGAAGTGCCAGGCGCTGCCCAGGGAAGTGGTGCATGTGCATACCTCAGCAGACCATTAGTGAGAACTGCAGGCCACCTCCCTCCCGCTAGGGTCAGGTCAGGAAACAACTATCTCATGAGACTCCTGGCAGGACTGTGGCCAGTATAGTCCAGGGGGTAGGTGTTCACTATACTGAAGCAAGTTATTCAGTGCTGATGGCTTCAATGGAACAAACTTGTTTCTTCTTCATCATAGGTATCATGGCACTTTCTCATTTAACCCTCCACATAACCCTGGGAAGAGAGGCTCTGCACTGGCTGCTCTTCCAGAGGTCCTGAGTTCAATTCCCAGCAACCACATGGCTCACGACCATCTGTAATGTAGTCTGGTGCCCTCTTTTGGCCTGCAGGGACACATGCAGACAGAACACTGTATACATAACAAATAAATCTTTAAAAAGAAAAAGAGAGAGAGAGAGAGGCTCTGGCTCCTTCCCAAACAGGCCACCTGCCTACCTAGGGTCCCCAGCTAACTGGGTGGCCCTGTAGCAGGGGCCCAACGTCTGCAGGGACAAGATAAGCCTGAGGCATTAGACCTTCATTCATGTGGTGAAGGGAGCCAGCAGCAAGAAGCATAGGAGAACACAGCTGCTTGGAATGCTCCAGAAGAAACGGGAAAGAACTGCAGGAAGCCATGGCCATGCAAAGTGACACAGGGTCACCTGCTGCCATCCCCTAGGACCACACTTCATGATGACCTCCTTCCAAAGGACACCATCTCAGATTCAGCTTTGCCACCCTTGCTCACCCCTGGTGGCTCTCCTCAACACACCTATCCAGGTATAAGCCCTCAGCCTAGCCCACAGAGCTGCTGGCCCAGAACATGACCACATCCTGCCTCAAGGACTATGATGCCACAGTCGGATGAAGTCGGATGATGGTCTGAAGCATGCAGATGCTGACTACCTTAGCACCAGGTTTCTCAGCCAGGCAAAGACTGACTCACCATCCTGGGTAGGAGCAGGAGAAGCCAACACAAAGGCCCATTTTGTGGCCGAGGCTGTTCCCCGGGGAACAACATTATTCCAGTAAGTTCCTAGAGAGAATAGACATAAAAGTGGGTTACGGTAAGAAAAACAAACCTGTAACACTTCAGTTTTGGTTCTAGACTATAGCTGGCCTTCAAAGCTTTTACAGTGGTTTCTAGCGTCCTTAAACAAAGTGGCATGAGCTACTCATTTTTCTAAGTATCATCAAGAAGAACCATACCTGGTTCACTGAAGCCCAAGGAGGTGATGGACAGAGCTAGGGGAAACTCAGTACTAAGGGGAGTCATTCAGAAATGAACACCCAGCTCATCCACAGACTTGCATGTTCAAAAATTGTTTACTTATTGTGTATGTGACTGTGTGAGTGTACATACATGTGTTAGTGTGGAGGTATGTGCCTACATATGTTCCTGAAGTCCAGAAGAGGGCATTGGGTGTTCCCATCTGCCATTATCCACACAGCACTTTGAGTCAGGGTTTCTCCCTGCTCCTAGGGATCAAGTTCTCTCTACCAGATTACAAGTCAGTCAGTCCCAAACATTCTCCTGCCTCTGCCCACTTTATTGCTGGATTCCAGGGACGTGTGGGATATCTGGCTTGTGTAAGTGCTGGATCTGAACTCCTGCCCTCATATTCTTTCTTTTTTTTTTTTTTTTAAAGATTTTATTTATCATGCATACAACATTCTGCTTCTGTGTATATCTGCACACCAGAAGAGGGCACCAGATCTCATAAGGGATGGTTGTGAGCCACCATGTGGTTGCTGGGAATTGAACTCAGGACCTCTGGAAGAGCAGTCGGTGCTCTTAACCTCTGAGCCATCTCTCCAGCCCATGCCCTCATATTCTTAACTGTGCAGGTGTGTCCACAAGTGTGTCATGAGATGTGGGTGGAGATTAGAAGACAACTTTTCAAAAGTTAGTTTTCTCCTTTCACCTTGTTTTGGAAGCAGGATCTCTCTTGTTTCTGCCACTGGTCTGTGTATGTGAATTCCTGGTCATTTAAGTCCCCACCTGTCCCCATTTCCCCATAGGAGTGCTGACATTAGTCACTACCACCGTATCTGGCTTTTTGTTGTTGTTGTTCTTTGTTTTTTTGTTTGTTTTTTTAAGTCAGAATTTTCTCTACAAAGCTCTGCCTGGGCTGGAACCCACTCTGTACATCAGAGTGGCCCTGAATTCACAGATCCTCCTGCCTCTGCTTCCTGAGTGCTGGGATTAAAGGCGTGCGCCACCAGTGCCTGGCTGTATCTTGCTTTTTACATGACTTTTAGCGATTGAACACAGGTCTTCAAGGTTTGTGTGGCATGTGTTTTTACCTGCAGAGCCATTTCACTACCCACCCCTGAGTGGATTTTGAAATCCCAACATAAAATTGAGCTGCAGCTAGGTGTGATGGTACATGCCTGCAATCCTGGCACTTGGGAGGTAGAAACAGAGGGTTAGGAGTTCAAGGCCAGTCTGGCAGCTTGGGCTTTATGAGACTTCGACTCAAATAAAAACGGCCACCAAAAACAAGCTCTGTTTGCCTGCACATATGTATGGGTTCCACTTGTGTGTCTGCTGCCCACACCAGAGGCCACTTGGATCCCCTTGAATGAGAGTTACAGACATTTGTTAGCCACCATGCAGTGTTAGGAACAGAGCCAGCGGTCCTGTGCAAGAGCTGCCAGTACTCTGAACTACTGAGCTGTCTCTCTACCCCTCCATTAGGAGCAGGGCCTGGTGGCACACACCTTTAATCACAGCGCTCAGGTGGCAGAGGCAGGCGGATCTCTGTGAGTTCCAGGACAGCCAGGGCTGTTACACACAGAAACCCTGTCTCGAAAACAAACAACAAATAGAGTAGAAATAAAGCGAAAACAAGAGTAATGGGCTCACCTATGAGGTTTCCTTTAGCAACATGGAATTCATTCTTGCCCGAGGAGACCCAGACGCCACTGTTGTTAACCCCTAGCAGGCTGGGCTGGCACTGAAGCTGCTGAGACCAAAATGCCATGCGCAGTTTATCTGCCGCCTTCTCCACAGGGGCTTGAGCTGCTGTCGCTACTGAGTGCGTGGCATGCATGATGGCCTGGAACAAGCTGCACTGGTCGAACACCACATAGTCTGTGATGCTCACCTGCAGGAAGCACACCTGGTGGGTCCTAGGGATCGAACTCAGGTTATCAGGCTTAGCAATCTCGCCATCTACTCTTGTTGGATTTATTTATTACAGACGTTGGCATGAACACCCTATTCCTGGGACACATTCCCAATTCACACAATGAAATATTAAGTGAAAGTATTACAGAGAGTTTGAATTTATAAAAAACAAAGCAAACATGAAAGAAATCATTAGAAGTTAGTATATCACGCGTAACTGCTGCCCTTCTGTCTGTGAAGGAACAGGATAGCTGTGAGTGCTGTCCTCACTGAAGCTGGCATAAACAGCCCCGACTGCAGAGCCTGTGGCCACATTCAGCATTGTGAGCTCGGTGCAGCCTGGCTCCGTGACTCCCTGAGTGTCAAAGAGTGTGTTCCACTCAGAGACTCAAGTGTACATGCCATGCAACTCAGGCCAGTGCTGCTCACTGGAGACCTAGCAGTGACTATGCCAAAGCCACACCAAGTCTGTGACACCCAAGACAGACAGACATGTAAGCAAGTCTTCAACCGAGAGAGAGAGAAGAAAGACCTAGCAGTCACACATAAGAGCCAAAGAAAGCAAAGAACCTTCACTCTGCTCTGTGCCCTATGACAGTTCTGTCCAGCTAAAGTTCCATGTATTATGAAAAAATGCTAAGAGTTTTCTTTATGTTACTTAAAGACGGGCTTCCGGGACAGCGGCACGCAGCACAATGGTAGCACATGGCCCAGCTCAACCACAGAACCACACAGCAGGAGGCGCAGCTGATAAAGTGCTGAGCACACACGGTGACGACTGGAGTCTGGATCCCCAGCGTCCATGTAAAATACCGGAAGGCAGAGCGGCCTGCTTTTAATCTCAGTGCTTGAAAAGCAGAGATGGATCCCTGGGTCAAGATGGCTAGCAAGACTAGCCAAGTCTGTGGGCTTTGGGCTCAGCAAGAGACCCTACCTCAGCAGATAAGCAATCAAAGAGGAGCCTCAGCAGCAACTCTGGCTAACACACATGCACACGCACACCCCCCCACACACACAGACACACACATATACACATTCCACACACACACACACACACCACACACACACACACACACACACACACACAGACACACACACACATATACACACACCATACACACACATACACACACACACACCACACACCCACAGACACACACACACACACACACACAGACACAGACACACACAGACACTCACACACACACACATATATGCATATACACATGTATGCACATTATACACAGACACATGTAAACATTCCCTCCGGGGTTTAGCACATACGGATATGTATATATGTTTATGTGTTGTATAATGTACGTGTTCATATATGGTTATAAGTATATGGTAGGTAATTTTAAATCATATATGATCTCGAATATTACCTAGAATATCAAATTATAGACATAGAGGTACGGCATAATACCTTAGGCCCAATGTAAGGAGCTTAGCCCTGAATGGTACCAAGAGAGCAAAGTGGATGTTCTTGCAAAATCCACTCAAGGCTGAGCTGGAACCATGCAAAGTTGGCTTGACTGTACCCCTTACTTCTCACAGTCCTCCTCTCTGGGAGTATGTGGGAAAATGCTTAGTTCTTTGTTGAAATATCATTTACTTAAAGGCCTTTCAAGCAAGTAGAGATAGATGAGTTTTAATTGTGGGTTGGGTTTTCAAACCTATTGTTTAGTCTCTTTTCTTAGCACATTTGTTCAGAATTAAACATCATTATTACCCAGGTCTTTCTTTAAATGGATGTCACTGGGTTTATTTAGCCTATAATGATGAATGCCCAAATAACATTTAAATAAATAATAAATTTCAGCCTGTATTAAAAAGCAAAGAAAGCTTTACAAGTTATTTCCTATGAGGGAAGTTTTTCTGTGTGTGTTTTTAGTACACCCAACCAGAGGAAAGTGTAACCTACCAAATGTTAAAATATTACTAATTTAATGCAGTCTCTTAAGGAAAAGAGAAAGGCAGAAGTGGTGGGTCTCCAAGTCAGAAAGCCCCATCACCTACCTGCCACCAATGGTCATCATCTCCTTGGGGCTTCTTGGGAACTACACCCGTTCTGAACCACAGCTTCCCATGAATGTCCAGGGCCCAGAGTGTGTGCTGATCTCCGAGAGTTATGCAGACAGGCTCCAGAGTTTGCCTTTCACTGAAAGTGAGAGAAAACAGCATCAGCTCCAATCCAGGAGGCACAGCAGGCAGAAGGAAACCTCGCTGGGCATCTCTGCACACGCTTGGCATGGAGAAGAAACGAACTCTGTTCTCAGGGTTATTGAATGGCAGGGAAGGAGCTGAGAGTGGTGTACAGCTGTCTCTGGGCAGACACCATCTTCTCTCATGATTCTACCATCGATGCTTCTTCCAGCTGGGGACATCCCTGGCAGCTTTGAGGCGCAGCTGAGGCTAGCCTTGGCATGCAGCCTACCCAAGCGCTGCAGGCAGGCAGCAGCTACTCACTGCTGCACCTTCCTTCTTGCTTAGTATCCTCACACCAACTGGCACCCAACTGGCTGCTGCATGGCTCCCCACTAAGCTGCCAGGGCTGTCTCTTGGCTATCTTGGAACACCCAGACCTCAGAGAATCCGGTGGTTCCCATCAGGGGTCCTATGAAGATTTACTGGCTAGCTGAACCCAACCAACATCACCCTGATCTGACATATCTAAGGACCAGTTTTTGTTTCGTCTTTTGTTTTATTGTTTTTCAAGATAGGGTTTCTCTGTGTAGCCATGCTGTCCTGTAACTCACCCTGGAGACCAGGCTGGCCTTGAACTCACAGAGACCCACCTGCCTCTACCTCCCAAATGCTGGGATTAAAGGTCTGTGCCACCACCGCCCAGCCTGAATCTTAAATGGTAAAAAGTAAAATATAGTCCAGAACTAATTTCAACTGACTAGGATAAAAGTACAAGGAAGCATTTGTAGTTACACCATCACAGACTCTCAACAGGTAGCTCTGAATGGAGACCCTGAGAACTGGCCACTCTGATGTGCTTTTTTTCTTTTTTTGGAGCTGAGGATGCCCCTGAACACTGGTTTTCTTGCCTCTATCTCCTAAGTGATGAGACTTCAGGCATGTGCCACTCAGCCCAGTTTATGTGGTACTGAGGATGGGACTCAGGGCCTTGTGCATGCAAGGCAAATACTCTACCAACTGAGCTCTATACCCAAACCCCAACACATGTTGTAATGTGACCAGCAGAGGAGCATGGAGTATTCCCAAAGTCAGTCTGTTGAGGCTGGCATCACCATGGAACCAGAAAAAGCTCACCTAGGTGCCTGGTCAGAGATAAATGTAACACTGCCTGGGCCCATAATACCTGACAATGTCACACTTCCACTGCTCCCCTTCAGGACAGAAGGGGCTCACGCCCTCACGGTATAGGAGGGCCCTCTGCTCCGTCAGTGCCCACACCACACTGTTCCGGGCAGTGATCTGGGACAGCGGACAGGGACAGTCAACCTTCACAGCTCGGGCACAGGGCCGATCCACACTGAGACCTGTAGCAAGAGGGGAAAGTCCACAGATTCATCAGCAGCATGTCAGACCCTAGTCTGCTCTGTGATTTTCTTTTTTGGGGGGGAGGTACTTTTGCTATTTATGGGGTCCCATAATAAATACCCTTTCTGAGATTTTTATCAATAACAACAAAAGGTAAGTAAGTTATGCTTCAAGGTGGCATCTGTCTGAGGCAAATTTGGATGTCATTTGGAAAGTAAAGAAATATAATTTAGAACTTTCTGGTGTTCCAAAGTAGCTTACAAATCTCAGCTGGACAGTGGTGACACACACCTTTAATCCCAGCACTCACGAGGCAGAGGCAGGCAGATGTCTGTGCGTTCAAGGCTAGCTTGGTCTCAAAATCGAGTTCAGGACAGCCAGGACTGCTGTTACACAGAGAAACCCTTTTTTTTGGGGGGGTGGGGTGAGTTTTCAAGGCAGGAAAGCAGCCATCCTCGAATAAGAGCATGGAGGGCTTCTCTTCTGCCAGCAAGGCTGTGTTCTCCCCTGGGAGACAAGGGGTCCTCAGCTGCAGACCTAGCAGCTTAGGAAGCTCTACTCCCCTGTTCTCCACTTACAGTGTGGGGCTACCCTGCTAACGCGCAAACCCCCACTTCCCAGGAAACCTGAGATCTGTCATACTAGCAGTCAGGGCTTTAGGGCTCTTTGAGGCCTGTCAGTAAGGTGTGCCATGCACCTGAATGAGGTCAAAGGTAACTACTGAGGGAGAAGGCAGGACAGCTAATATCCAAACCCCAGATGCCATAGCCTTGGGCTGCAAGCAGGCCCTAGCGGTGTAGTCACAAAGACACCCACAGTCTGCGCAACTGTGCAGACTCACCTGTAGGACTTCTTTCTGCAAATCCTTACCAGGCCCACACTCACCCAGCAGTTGGAGAGGGTCAGCATAATTTGAAAACTGCTCTGGTGACTGCTCTGGCATTGTGGTTAGGAGGTCACCTGCTCCTCACCTGCAAGTTCAAAGTACCCCTTTCCCTGCCAGGACCAAAACCAAATGCCTTGCCAGTTGGGTGTGCGTGTATCAGAGTAGCCTGTTTCCAATCAAAGACACAAAAACTAACTAAACAGAAGGCTCTAGCCTCACACGTCCATGAGGCTGGCAGAGCTTCGACCAGTATGAGGCTCCTTCACACCTGACAGCCAGATGAGAAACCAGCTTTCAGTGTGGAGAAGCATCCCTGGCTGATGGTGCATTCCAAAGATGAAACCATGCTCTCAGGACAAGAATTATTATATGACTACATCAATCTTCATGTAAATCCAATATGGCCTCTTAACAGGCCCAACACAACCCCTGCCACCACCCTCCCTCACCCCCCATGCTGACAGTACAGAAACACTGACTCATTACAGTTTATTTTTTAATAAACCAGTCCCACTGTACCCGTTCTAGCAGCTAAAGGTTTCCCTAAGGGCTGTTTCCTAGGACGAGTCAATCTGCTATTTACAGCAAATTACTTCTTATTGTCTTTCGCTGAATCCACATGTAAATACACATACAGGTTCTGGGCTTTGACCTAGCTGGGAAAAGGGAGGTGACGTCGAGTTGTGCCTATTACTCTTTCCTCTTAGGAATGGATGCAGCAAGGCACGTAAAAGGCACTGGGAGCTGTAGAGCATAGGGCTCTGCATCCTGCCTGGCTGCTGCACTGCACCCAGTCATCTAGTCACTCTAGCCCAGGCCCAATGTGGGGAGGGGACTGCTCTCCATGGTAAACCCTGGGCTTCTACAAACGTTTTCACTTAACTTGCTTTTCGGTCTCTGTATCCTGTGACTGCTCTCAGAATGTGACTAGCAGCAGATTCAGCAAATGACAAGAACAATGTACATGGCCTTCGACTACCTGTCTGAAGGTACAGATCTCCATTGGTCCTGATGATCCAGGCTGTGTCATCACTCAGGGCCACAAACACCGCCTGGGGCAGAGCCTCATACCAGTGCCGCTTTCCCTTGATGGTAACTTTGCCACAAGCAAAAGCACGGTTAGATTTCTGTTCAATCTTCCAGAGAAGAGCCCCTAGGAGGAAAAACATTCTACTCACTGCTCAACAAACATGAGATTCACCTACACAAAAACTCCATTCTGGGTAGTGCAAGGGATCGCTTCCTAAAATACATCTTGTTGCTTCTAACTCAGGGAAGAGCCCATCATGCCAGAGTTTGGACTGTTGTTGGACATCAGTGTGAGTGAGTCCAAAACTTGCTTTCCTCATCTGAAAAATGGGGTTATTTCTATCTTCTGGGGCTGACCCAAAGGTCAGATGTGAGACGCCCACCTTGAGCGCACAGGGTTGGACAGAATCAGCCATTCACACAGGGGGTGTGTGTGACAGCACCGTCGTAGGCTTCATTAGTTACGTGAGGCACCACTAATGCCCAAATATTAACCTCGGGGACTCAAAGGGAGGGCCTCTTCTGGACCACTTACATGAAAGCTCTGCATCTGAGTTTAGGGAGGCGTGTTTTCATTAAAAGAATTCTGAGGAGCAGATAAAGGAGGCAAGAGAAGGTGGAAGGCAGGCCAACAGCACTATAGACGAAGGCTGTGACACTGGGGGAGGCGAAGAACCACCGAGGAATGAATGAGCATGCACTGAGCTAAACCATAAACCAGGTCTACAGTGGTCATGTATGCAGCTTCCTCCCCTACTCCACTCTGCAACACGACATGGCACAGGGCCTGAGGCATCCAAAGATGTGAACCCAGAACACAGCCATCTCAGCTGTAAATGGTGACCTCACAGAGACAGATCCAGCCGGAGAAACCAAGGAATGGTTGGGAAAATAAAAAGTAATTAATACCATCAGCAGAGAACCAACGTTTCTAAATGGCTAAGAGGATGAATCCAAAAGTATGTGACAGAAACAGGAAAAAGAATTAAGACATACAATTACACGATGCTAGCTAATGGAGCAGGCTATTACCTCAGCCAATCTCCAGGGAAAAATAGTTTCCAAGCAAGTAGTGAGAGAAAATGAGCAAACCACCCCTCAACGCTAACATTTTAACAAGAACTCCCTGTCTTTTGCTTCTCTGCCATGACCCCCACTGCTTCAGAATAAACGTGCATCCAGCATTAGGAAGAAGCAAATGAGCATAGTGGGGGTTATGCCTATAACCTCAGCTTTTGGGAGAATAGGAAGACCCAAATTTTGAGGCCAGCCAGGACTCCATAGCGAATTCAAGGCCAGCCTGTGCTATATAGCAAGGTCATGTCTAAAAACAAAACAAACAAATAAAAACCCACTAACAAACAAGTAAATAAATCTAGGTAGATAAGAGAATTATCTCAGCTTACCAGAACTGTATTTTTAAAAGTCTCATTGGCTTCACTAAAATGCTAAAGGCTGGCATGAAAATCTGAGGGCCTTTCCTATTGCAGGGAAAAAAAAAAAAAAAAAAAGCTTCTGAAAAGTAAATCAGATGACTGGAACATATCCAGCATATATCCACAGGCCTGTCTTCACTAGTTCAGTTGCTTTATAGCAATACTGACAAACAGAAATACATGTTATTTTTATGAGGATTTAGTGTGCCAACATGACTTAAAAAAACCCTCAAAATTCAAATTATTTGTATAGCTTACAAAAATATGTTCACATGCTATGTTATCACTGCAATTAATAAAATAAAAAAACCAAAAATTCAAGCAAGTATGCTGAACACCCATTATCCTATCGGGTGTCACAGAAAGTATTCATGATCTTTACAGAACCCAGTAATCTGATGACAGTATGCTGTTGCCCGAGGAGAGCTGCCCTGGGATCTGGGAGCAGGGTTGGCGGGTTGGGAAGTGGGAGCGGGGAGGCGAACCTGAGGGAGAGACTGCCACCTGCTGGACAGCATCTTCAAACCTCTGCCAGCGCAGCCCTGCACCAGGCAGGGCACTGCAGAACAGGCCACCTTTGTAGTCCAGGCACCAGATAAACTTTTCCGAGACTGCCAAGCTGAGAATGCCATAGCCAGGACCCGAGTAGCCCATCCAGCTCTCTGCAAACTAACAAGAACAGAGGCCAGTGAGTTCCGTGGCAAGAGACACTGCTTCATCATATTGTTACCACCAACAACAGTGGGCAAACGATTAAAGAGAAAGGGTCTTTGAGAAGCCCTGCTCTCCTTGGATCCAGTCTCAGAAACACTCTGGAACAGGAGCTGTGGTCCTCATGGAAGACCCCATAATCTCCCTGGGTAACACTTTCTCATGGTGTAGCACCTTCCCTAAGCAACGCTTAGAGGTGTATCCAACCATTTGACAGAACAAGAAGCCATCGCCATCCAGTAAGTCCACACTCAGGAACCATACAACTGAGCTACCCCACCTCCAGAAAGAAGTTTGCCAAAGACCCTAACATTTTCAGTAAGCTTATGATTGCATGCTGGGCTGTGCTTATAGTGATCCTGGAGAGCATGCTCCACACAGGACACAGGCTACGCATGCCCGGGCAGAGCATGCTCCACACAGGACACAGGCTACGCATGCCCGGGTAGAGCAAGAAATCACACATCCTAAGAGATCTGCCTTCATTCTATGCATACCTTACTTTACACAAGGAGGCATGTTCATCAACACACGTATGAAAGTCAACTTTTTGTAAATTTACTGTGACAGATGCACTATGGGAACAGGACCACTGTATGCAATAGTTTTTCAAGCATTGTTCTAACCTTTGGGCACCTGGCATATTGTACATGAACAGCTAGGAGAAATGTGAGTGAGACACTGTCTGAATTTTGTCCATTAAGGCTTTGTTGCATTATTTTATTTGTATTTCACATATTTAGCATAATTGTGCATGTGTACACATGCGTGTGCAATAGCATGTGTGTGGGTTTGTGAGAGCTGGTCCTCTCCTTCCATCATATGGGTCCTAGACATGGAGCACTGACCTGCCATGCTGGTCCCATGCTGCTAGGACTAGTTCAAAAGTCAAATAGTTACACAAACACTTGATATGGAAGCTGGTGTACGAAAGAGAATGGTGCCTACCTCCTCCCCACTTGGCTATGTTCACCATGGCAAACCTTTTTTTGTTTTTAAATACTTTATTTAACTTTATTTTATGTGCACTGGTGTAAGGATACCAGATCCCCTGGAACTGGAGTTACAAACAGCTTGAGCTGCCATGTAGGTGCTGGGAATAGAACCCAGGACCTCTGGAACAGCAGCCACTGCTCTTAACCACTGAGCCATCTCTCCAGCCCCCATGGCAAACTTTTTTCACCTAGCCCTTGTTCTCCAAAACAGAACAACAACCAACATGTCTAAGCTTTTCTGCCACATGGAGCAAGACCAGGTGTGGCAAAACTTGGTAGGTGACGCCAGAGGTCCAAGCTCATCCCCACAGGTGACGGCTTTCCCAAGCTTCCAACAAGTCCTAACACAGACCAACAGTTATGAGCTCCCAGCCAATGTCTATGCCAGGTGATCACCCTGTTGTGGCTTTCCAGAGACATGGGGTCCCCTGCTAGCTGTCACTGGCGCTGAACTCCCCAGTCAGTTAAGAGCACGTAGGAAGCAGCGCACTGCAAAGATGGGCACAGAGGCTGCTGGACAAGAATTCCAACTTCAGGGACACTGACGTTTGAGACACCACTTTACTTTTCTTAGTTTCAGGTTCTTCCTCCAAAAATGAGGAAACTGCACCTCTGTCCTCATTTGTTCTGTTCTTAAAGAAGTGACTTAAACTGGGCAGTGGTAGCGCACACCTTTAATCCCAGAAATTGGGAGGCAGAGGCAGGCGGATCTCTGTGAGTTCAAGGCCAGTCTGATCTACAGAGTGAGTTTCAGGACAGCCAGAGCTGTTACATAGAGAAACCCTGTCTTGAAAAACCAAAAAGAAGAAGAAAGAAAAAGTGACTTAAATGAGTGATGTGTTTAGCAGAGACCTGCACATGGTAAGAACTGATAAACATCCCAATTTCTTAGCTCTAAAGATATAGTGGTGGCCTCGCACCAATGACTAGGGCATGTGGTCATGCAGGGTTAGTTCTGAAGCCAAATACATTTGCTAAGACTTACTTGCTGTAGAAAGTAAGTATCTAGAAGTCATTTTTAGGGCTGGGCATGGTGGTGCAACACTTAATCCAAGCACTCTGGAGGCAGAGGCAGGTAGATCTCTGAGTTCAAGGCCAGCCTGGTCTGTATAGTTAGTTCCAGGACAGCCAGGGCTGTGCAGAGAGACCCTGTTTTTTAAAAATCATTTTTAAAATAAAAGTCCTAAGAACAGTAAATTACACTGGCTGAGAAGCCCATAGCAGACTATGGGCTTCATTCTGCAATGTGTGTCCTGGGGGCACTGTGTGGATGCTGAGGAAACAGCATTTTTGGAAAGGCTCCAATTCATATTGATGTTCCAAGCAGTCAACCAACTGTGGAGAATAGCAGGAACTACCCACCTCATGTGTGTTCAGAGCAAAGAGCCCTCTGCCCAGTGGTGTTCCAATGGCCCCAGGCTACCTTAAATGCCCAAAGTGGGCTGGCCTTGCAAGACACCACTTTTCTGAAGTACTACAGTTCCAATTATTCAGGACCCCTCATAGGACATTGTCCCAAACCCAGACTTCAAAGCTGCAGATTTTGCAGGGGTAGGCTTTCCATAAGAAGGAAAACAAATGAGCCAAGGGTGCCCCTTAAAAGAAAAACAGCAGCTGCACCTTAGTTCTGTTTCCTCCATCAGCACACAGACCTGATCTGCCTTGAGCAGTGTGGTGTCGTCAGTCCCCGGCTGGCTCAGGTCCTGCAGAGAGCGACCAGCTTCAAGCTCTGCCACACTTGTCTCCGAGGGTGAAGATGGAAGTCCATGGGCATAAATGTCTTCCTCATCACTGGATGTCACTGCCTCATCTTGGAGAGGCTGGTCCAGCCAATGGTCACGGGTGTCGGCCACCAAGGCAGAGACAAGAGGTGTGGTCTCCTGCGCCCCCATGTTCCCTGTGCCACATTCAGAAGTGGGTGTTTCTTTCTGGCCTGTGTCATGATCAGTGACCACATGCCAAGGATTTGAGCTCAGGTGGCTAGGAACCTCCACATGGGTCAAGATGTCCGGTTCTGGGCTGGCCTCCTCAGTGCTGACTTCACAAACTCCAATCCCAGGCAGCCACTGCTCAGCACCTGGGGGCCAGCTGAGGCTGGAAGGTACAGTGAGTGAGTCCAGAGGAGAGGCTTCAGAAAAAGTGCTCTGGGGGTCACTGGACACGATGGTGTGCCCTTCCTGCGCCTCAGCGGAGCTGTCCTGCTCCTGCAGGCATAACTGTGCATGTACTGCAGCAGCAGCAGGATCAGCAGCAGGATCAGGCTCCTCTTTAAGTCCTGGGATGATGTCATCACCTCCATCCTCCCCTGGTGGAAAGTGTAAACCCGACACTCCATTGACCAGGTCCACGTCCTGTATGTGGTCACAAGCTTCCTCTCCAGTGCCATTTTCTTCAGCCACTGGGCCAGGGGCAGACTCGGGCACCTCCAGGATACTGAATGTTTCAGGGCCATTGTCTTCGGGCACGATCCCATTCACCTCAACACTGGGGTTGCTCTCCTGGTCTGGAGACCCTGTGCTCAACTGGTCCACACTACTGGCCAGAGCACTTGAGGTCATAGACAAGAGCTCTGTGTTCAAAGACTGGGGGCTGCCACCAGGGAACTCGGAGCAGGGAGTTGACTCGAGGGAACTGTGGCAGGTGCTCCTGGTTCCACCTTCTAATTTAAAATGAGAACATTCAAAATAAGGCACGACTCTACAGGAATAACCAGAATATGAAAATAAGACTCTACAGGAATAACCAGAAAATGAAAAAAACATTTGGCTCAAGAAAAAAAAAATTTTTTGGGGGGGGGGTTTCTAGACAGGGTTTCTCTGTGGCTTTGGAGCCTATCCTGGCACTTGCTCTTGTAGACCAGGCTGGTCTCGAACTCACAGAGATCCTCCTGCCTCTGCCTCCCCAGTGCTGGGATTAAAGGCGTGCGCCACCAACACCCGGCTTAATGAAGGAAGGGTATTTAGTAGGGTACAAATTAATCTCTACAGTTCCAGAACTTGGGAGGTAGAGACTGGGAGCTCAAGAGTTTGAGGCTAGTCTGAGCCACACAGTAAGAAACCAGGACTCTGTTCTCACACCCCTGTAAAAACAGGAGGAAACAGGGCAGTGGTCCCAGCACTTGGGAAGAGAGTCTCTAAGTTCAAGGCCAGCCTGGACTGCAGAGTGAGTATCAGGACAGGCCACCTGAAACCCTGTCTCAAAAACTTAAAAATTCAAAAAAGTAGAAATGATCTTATGTCAGGAATGTCCAGAAGCCTCATTACAGAAATGCTAGGAGAATGGAATAGGAATAAAATACCATGGATCATAGACCAACTTTTTTAAATTGTCAAAATGCTTAAGAGCTCAATAACATTTTCCTTCAATAATGTAGCAACTTTAGCTACAAGAGTCAATAGCAGGAGTGAAGAGCTTAACAAGTTCTTTATGACTTGATCCCAGTACTTGGGAGCCAGCCAGAGGCAGCAAGATCTCTGAGAGTTCAAGCCCAGCCTGGTCTATACAGTAAGTTCTGGGACAGCCAGGGCTACACAGAGAAATCTACCTCAAAAAAAAAAAAAAAAAAAAAAAAAAAAAAAAAAAAAGACAAAAAAAAAAAACACCCAAAAAAAAAAAAAAAAAAAAAAAAAAAAAAGTAAGATGTCAAACAATTATACCACCATGAGCTCCATTTCAATGACTGTCCCACATGTTTGTAGGGTCTCTGGTGCGATGAATGGAATGTATGGATGTGGTATTTGAATGTAATTGGCTCCCATAATCTCCTAGGGAGTGGCACTATTACAAGATGAGGCTTTGCTGGAGGAAGTGTGTCAGGAGCGGGCAGGCTTTTAGGTTTCCTATGCTTAGGTACTGCCCAGTGTCTCAGTCAAATTCCTGTTGCCTGCAAGGTGTACGACTCTCAGCTACTACCTCAGCACCACGTCTGCCCGCATGCCAGCATGCTCCCCCCATGATGATAATGGACTGACTGTCTGACACTGTAAGCGAGCCACCCCAATTAAACGTTTCCTTGTAAGAGTTGTCATGGTCATGAAGCTTCTTCCCAGCAGCAGAAACCCTAAGACAGTAGACAAATCAATTATCTTATGTTAAATATCTTAAATATTAAGAAGAGCAAAATCCAGACCGTTTGATCAGACCTCACCAACACAGAGCTTATGTGTTTACATGTGCACTGTTACTTTGTGGGGAGGAGTGCTTTCAGTGTGTGAAGTGCCCTGACTGGCCAGGAGTAGCAAATACCCATTTCTCGAGAAGCAGCAACCAGGTAGACGTGCACATCCCCAAAGGTTCGGCCCTAGGTGCCACATGAGTCCGCCCGCAGACAGTACCTGTCTTTCTCCTCCTCCTCCTCTTCTTCACTTTGATGGGTTTCACAATAAGCTCCTGGTCGAAGTCTTCAGAACTTATAACACTGAACCTCTGTGAGGATGGCTGGCTACCCTGGTCCAGCTCAGGGGCAGCCTGAAGTCCCAGCAACAGCAGCCCAGAACCACTGTCAGTAGAGTTGAGGGAACTGCTCCTGCTCCGTTGCTCACTGGCCACAGAACTAGCCACTGAAGAGCCTCGAAGCCTTGTCTCACAAACAGTGGCCCCTGGTGACTTCTCCAGATGTTGCCCATGGACCTGATCTGAACATCTTGTCTGCAGACCATCTCTCACTGAGAAAGAAGAGTTTAGTTTACTATGGTTCTTTCAGAGACATCGTATGCATCACTCAGTTTGCTAGAAGTCACAGGAAGACCAAGATCCTCTCCTACTAAAAACCCAGCAACTCCAAATTCTCCAAACTCAGAGAGACTCAAAGGACCACACAGAAGATGGCAAGGGGCCTTTGTGCTCCAGGAAGCTCATATACTAAAGTCAGTAAAATAACTCACTGCAGTTGTCTTTTGTAAACACCACCAGTAACAGAACATCACTAAATATGAAGCACTTCTCATTTCAATTTTACAAATTCTTAGTAAATTTTTCTGTATCAACAATAGTTAAGTTAGGGTCGGGCATTGAGTTTGAGACCAGCCTGGTCTACCAGAGTTAGTTCCAGGACAGCGTCTAAAGCCACAGAGAAACCCTGTCTCAAAAACAAAACAAAAGAAAAGCTAAAAACAAATCCAAACAAACAAAAACATTATGGTTTGCATGAACTATAAAATTAAAAACCAAAGCACAGGGGAAAACATCAATCCCAAAGGACAGTCTGTGTCTAGGGCAATAGATACATACCAAATTACAAGTTTCATTGTTTTAAAATTACACAAATCTGTGTCTCAGAGACATTAACTACATACAGCATCTCAGACAGGGCACCTGGGGCCAGGCAAGTGGTTTCTGATTTCTCCTTCCCAGTCACCCCACCACCCCTCTTCACAGTTAGAGGCAGCTCCACCACTCTGAGACTGTTCAATATATATCTTAAAGCAGGTCACTTCCATGACAAGCATTCTGCACACTTTCAGGATCCTAAAAGCCTCCAAATATCCCCATGTCTAAGCAACCCCCAAACTTTCATTTTCTTTTTTTGTTGTTATTTGGTTTTGGTTTGTTTTTCAATACAGGTTTTCTCTGTGTAGCCCTGGCTGTCCTGGACCTCACTCTGCTGACCTCATGTGCTTCAGCCTCCCTGAGAGCTGGGATTAAAGGCGCACAGCTTTAATGGTTTAAGCTACATTTATCTACCACAAGCGGGAAGGACTCAGTACACCCAGCACACTTGGCAATGAATACAAACCTATGGATGCCAGTCCCTCAGGCCTGCTTGAAATCCTTATAATGTTCCTATCTCCCTTCAGGAAAAATATCTCATTTTCTGTGCAGGTAACAGACACAATATCACCCAATCCTTCCAAACCAGCCACAGTGGCCTGTCAAAATAAACAAACATGAAGTCAGGCATTAAAAAAACAAAAACAAAAAACCATAAACAAGTAAGTGTGACAATCCAAATAATTGTAATTGTTAGGTTTTTGTTATGGCAGTTCCTGGAAAACACTTAAAAAGCAATTCAACCCATAGGTGGGTAGTATTTGATACACGGGACCTAAGTCATGTAACTTGGCACTGAGGAGCCATGATGGTGCCAGTGAAGTGCACAGCTGCTCCCATCTCTCATCCATGCTCTTCCTGGACTTGCTAGCTCTCACCCTTCTTATGACATGAAGCTCATACTCCTCATCAGGGCAGGAGGTCTGGCCATTCTGACCTGCCTGTCATCTATTGTGCCTCAAGGAAATCAGTGAGTGCCAGGCCAACGCCTAGCCTGTTCCTTGTGGCTTATGCACACAGCATGGGCTTTTCTCCAGCTGGGCTTTCTTTCCTGTTCACTGGAAAGGCTCAGCCTCAAGAAGTGCTGCTTGAGCACTGTCATCTTGAGGGATGACTAAGACTCCCCAATGGCTGACAGCATGTACTACAAACTCTATGTCATGCGTCTCTCCTGGGCTGGCTAGGAATGATACATCAGCCAACAAGCGCCTGTACCGTGTGCTTTCCTGTGGAAGAAGGGGAGCCTTGTAGCCCAAGTCTTTTGAGTGAAAGAGGAGGGGAAAAGGGTCCCTGGCTAAAAGGAGATGTCACACAGGGTTACCCTGAGTCCACACAAATTTCAGCTGACAGTGTGCATGAGAGAGGAGTTCAATGCAGGAGACACTGAGCCTAGGTTCTCTGCTAATTTTTAGGTAGTCTTGACAGAAAGCTGGAAACATGATAGCAGGTTCCCAAAGCTGCCAATCATGTTGCTTCAGAGAGGTGCAGACTCTGACGGTGGAAGCAGCGTCTGTTCACAGACACACCGTCTCCACTGCCCTGTATGAAGTGAAGTTAATTACACCTGCGCTGAGTGGCACAGGGAATGTGCTCAGATGAAAGGACTGACGCATAATTGCAACATGTCTAAAGCCAATAATTAAGAAGTTCAACAGGAGCCCAGGAGAAAAATCAAGTCATCCACAGTGGGAGAAACCAAATAAACAAATGAAGGATTAGAAGGTGACCCCTTAATCCAGGAACCTGGTGCCCCACTGTACAGATCAGGAGCCAAGTTATGGCAGATCAGAGACTTACAGGGCCAAGTTACCTCTGCACTGAAAGTGTTACCAAGCGCAGCTGGTAACTAGGGCGGTGTCGGTGGGGTGGGAGCAGGTGAGTTTGAGTCTCCACAGATGCTCTCTCCAGAGATGCAGCACCACAGGCCCACAGAGCTCATGTGGAAGAAGAGAGCCTGGCCTGGATGGTGAAGGCAGAGAGTAGGAAGTCTGATCTCACGACAAGAAGTAGCTGAAACCAAACAGCTTTGTTTACAGTCCTCAACCAGATTCTGGAAGTAACCTGTTATCACCCAGATCTAGGCAGAACCTGTTTTCTACCTTGAGTTAACGATCCTGGGAAACTGCCAAGATATGTCAGTAAGTTTCTAAAAAGAAGGGAAAAGGCAAAATAATATGGCTATCTTTGGATAAGCAGCACAGTAAAAGAAACAAACAAACAAACCAAAACAGCAAGAGGGGAAGAGTAATTGGAGGGAAGGAACCTTCTCCTGGGCAGACACTACCCGTGAGGCGTGATGGTCAATCCTCAGAGTTACTGTTTCTGTCATGTTTGAGTTGCCACTGGATGAGACTATAGTCAGAAAACACACAACTTAGAAAGGCCTGGTAGCACAGATGTAATCCTGGGTGTTTGGCAGGCTGAGGCAAGGCAATCAAAGTTTAAGGCCTACCTGAGCTATACAGAAAGGGTTCAAGATCAGCTTGGGCAGCTTAGTGACTGCCTTTCTCAAAATAAAAAGTAAACAAAACAAAACAAAACAAAAACAAAACAAAACAAAACAAAACAAAACAGGGCTGATGAGACAGCTCAGTGGTAGAGCACTGGCTAGCATTCATGAGGCCCTAGTACTGCAACACGCCAAACTAAAACAATGCACAACCTACAAGTGAGGGTGCAGCTAAGAGATAGAGTATGTGCTTAACGTGCACAAACCCCTTGGATTCAATCACAAGAAAAACGTATGTATGCGTGCATGAATACAGACAGACATACATGCATGCATGCATGCATGGAAAGGAAGGGAAGGGAAGAGAAGGAAGAGTGGGTTGGTGAGAGGTTTGGTGGTAAAGGTACTTACCATCAAACCGGATGACCCGAGTTCAATCCCTGAGACCAGTGTGGAAGGAGAGAATCAACTCCACGAGCTGTCCTCTGGCCTCCACACAGGTACCAGGACATGCAGGTGTAGGCAAGTAGGCACATGTGTGTAATCGAGAACACACACGAACGCACACAACATACACAAATAGATTTAATTTTTTTAAAATGACTCAGAAAGGTTATAAAGAACAAGTTTTATTTTGGGTTTTAGAGACCACAAAAAGCATCTAATTTCTTGGTAGAGTAGGACTATGGGTATCAAAAAGCAAGTTTTCTTTCTTTCTTTCCTTTTTTTTTTTTTTTTTTTGACTCTGGGTTTTTTAAAAATTTTTTTTCAATCCCTCAAATGGAAAAAAAAAAAAAAAAAAAAAAAAAAAAAAAAAAGCAAGCCCCAGAGTTGATTTTGCTCCTTTCCTTTTCCAGGAGCCCGTGGCTGAACACCTGTGGAGCTGCACCCTCCTGCCCTGTGACCCCAAAAAGAGATGTAGTCCCCCACACACCTGATTGATGGTATCCAGAAGATAGATACTGTATTCATTCCAGCTCAACACCCAGCCTTCTCGGAAGAAGCATGACACGAGCCCCAGGTGTTTCTCAGGAGCGCTGCAGCTTCCCCCATCAGAGGGTTCCAGACGAGGGTAGAGCTCAAAAGGTGTGACCCCTCCAGCAAAGACATCCTTGAGGATAAACGTGGCTTGAACAGTCCCATGGACATCAGCCTTCCACAGCCGGAGCCCAGGCCGGGCTGCGTATAGAGTTAGATCACTTTGCTTACACAGTCCTGGTATAAAACAAGCACCAAATTTCCCAGTACTAAAATTGGAAGAAAAAAAATGAAAGAAAAAAAACAAAAACAAAAACAAAACAGGCATGGACTGACTTGAAGTGATATAACTGTCAACTCCTAATATCAACTCTAAGAATCAATCTACTGACTAACACAAATCATTGCTTTTCTTGTCCTCTCCACTGTTTATTGGTGACTAGGTCACACTGGCATCCTTTGTCAACCAGGCCCCACCACGGCCTCACAAGTATACCCCACCTGGAGCACACATCCTAGATTCTGAGGTCATCAATGGTACCCACACAGCTTGCTTGTGTCCCATGCTTACATCCATCCTCCCTTTAATCCTTGTTGGGACTCCATGAGGCAACCAGTATAACTTCTGTTACCAAACAAAAAGTGACAAATACAGGGTTGTCCCTGCTGACTCTGTTCTGCAATGCTGTTTCCTCTAAAGCCTATGGTCATTCCCTATCTTCCTGAATGGAAAGCTTTACATCGAGAGTAGCTCATCTGTATCTCTTTCAAAATTTCTCCAAACCCAACAACTGTACCACTTTCCCTTCCATCCTCAAGCTTGGTTATTATTTTCTTATAAAACTGTGAAATACCCAATACACACAAAAGAGCATACGCAGGAGCTGGAGAGATGGCCCGGTGGGAAAGTGCACTGCTGCTCTTGTAGCTGTCCCAGAGCTGGTTCCCAGCACCCACAAGGTGACTCACCATCAGCTGCAGCTCTAGATCCAGGGGATCTGATGGTCATCTCCGAGCTCCTCAGGTACCAGGCACTCACGCGCTGCACACACACATGCAGCCACAACATTCACACACAGAAAATAATTTTTTTTTTTGAGACAGGGTTTCTCTGCACATCTCCAGCTCTACACAAACACGTATACATAGTGTACACATATACACCCCAATTCTTGACAATTTTAAGTAATTTGTCTTTTACACTTAACACTGTTTCTAAGATTTATCTTTGATTTTAAAAAAGGAAGCTATAGTGCTTATTCATTTTGACTGCTATATATTTTTTCACAATTTATTTGATTTTTAAAATTATCCTTTTTGAGATAAGATCTCATTATATAGCAAAGAGTGACCTCACATTCAAATTCTGTCTCACTCACTCTCTTATATTCTACAGCGACTACACCTGACTTTATATTGTTTTAAAATTTAATATATATTGCTACAAAATGTTTCCTTGGGATACTGGAATATGCATGGGTTTGGGGAAAGTATAACATATCTATGAATCTAATATTTATCTTAGTTTTTATGGTACTGGGAATTGAACCACGAGCCTTGAACATGGTAGGCAAGCACCCTACTACTCACTTACACATGAAGTATTCTTTTTTTAGAAATAACATATTCTGGGGCTAGAGAGATCTTCCAGTTAACAGCACTTGCTGCTCTTACAGTGGACCTAGCTCCCACGTGAAGGCAGCTTACAACCTGTAACCAGGGAACAGTACCTCTTTCGGCCTCCTCGGATACCTGGACTCACACTGACAAACACACACACCTAATTAAAAATAACTAATAAAATCTTTTTTCTTTCTTTTTTTCCTAGACAGAGTTTTTCTGTGTAACAGCCCTGGCTGTCTGGGACTCGCAGAGATCTGCCCATCACTGCCTCCTGAGTTCTGGAATTAAAGGTATGCACTATTATACCTAGCTCTAAATAAAATCTTAAAAAGTAAATAATTTATTCAATCTTGTTGTATTGTTTCTGTTGTTAATTTGTTGGTTTTGAGATATGGTCTCATGAAGCCAATGCTAGCATGGAACTTGCTAGTCTTATGTTGATTGCTATACAGCCTGGGATGACCTTGAGCTTTCATTTTTTTTTTTTTTTAAATATTTTATCTATTATGTATACAGTCTTCTGCCTGCATGCCAGCAGAGGGCTCCAGACCTCATTCAAGGTGGTTGTGAGCCACCATGTGGTTGCTGGGAATTGAACTCAGGACCTCTGGAAGAAGAGTCAGTGCTCTTAACCACTGAGCCATCTCTCCTGACCCCGAACTTCTGATCTTGTATCGTTTCCCAAGAGCTTACAGGGATTACAGGTGTGTACCACTGAGCCCACCTAAGACATTTTGTTCCTTTTTTTTTTTTCTTTCTTTCCCTTATGACTGGAGATTGAACTCAGGGCCTCATCCGTGCTCAGCAAGTACTCTGCCACTGTGCTACCAATCTGGTATTTGGATTACTATTAATTTTTTTTTTTTTTTTTTTTGCATAGAACTTAGAATGTAACCCAAGCTTTACACATCTAGGTAAATCCTTAACCACTGTACTGCACCTCAGCTTTTTTCAACTATTTTTTGTTTGTTTGTTTTTCTGAGACACTATGCAACCCTGGATGGCCTGAAAGTCACTGTGTAGACCGAGCCTGTCTCTGCTGGGATTAAAGGCTTGTGTTACTATGCCTAGCCTTCTGAAGCTATTTTCCATAATAGCGCCATCAACAGTTTTAGTACATCCTTCCTAGGATATAGGCCTAAGAGTTATTTGCCCAGTTATTTCTAGAGTAGGATTGCTGGGTCGCTGCGTTCAAGTTTATCGTCAACATGCTTACCAGTCTCCTCACGAGACCCCCACCTAAGCCCCGCTCCAGTCGGAGTTCTCAGGAGTTCTTCTGTTTTATATCTTTGTCAATGCTCAATTTCTATCAGAGTTCAAACTGAAGAGTTTTAGCTCAACTCTAAGCCTTGCTGATTCTTTTTCTAAACAGTTCTTTCTTGGACCTAGACAGTAGAAAGGGCACTCACTGGCTTACGTGTGCAGTTACTAGCCTTTTATGACCTCTGTGTGCTCATCTATAGGAAGCAAGACGTCCACACTAGTGCAGACTGAATGAGAAAGCTGCAGTGCAGCTCAAAACCAATCCCGTGACATTCTGGGTCCCGCGACATTCTGGGTCTCCTGCCTGGGAAGCGACGTTGCCCCACCCACTCACAGCTCATCTCCCTTGGCTTCCATCACCCCTGGGGAGATAGTTATCTGGGGTGGGGAGCTCCTCTTCAGGTCTCACTAGGCTCCACTGGCAACTTAGTAATTAAATCCCTCTGGACAGGATCCAGGGAGGATATGGTATGTCAGATTCAGCTTTGGAACAAAGATAATTAGAATAATCAACTGTTTTGAGTCCACAGAATTTTCATAGACAACTATGTAATAGGACTAGGTCTGATTCTTGCCTTTAGCAGGTTTGTTCTGGTGAGGCCCCCTAAACAAAAAAGCCCAAAGGAATTCTAGTTAGGCAACCCAGTGCCTCTTCCTCCTACCTGTCAAATGATACGTTTGGGGACCCAATTTTTCAGTCTGTTTTCTTCCAATTATGGGGACCTCTTAACTCTCTGGTAACTTCTGTTTGTTGGCTTAAGTAACCAGAGCATGTGTTTTAACGTGTACTTAGTGAACTGAAAGCGTCTATAAAACTGTGATGCTAGAGGGTGTGTGTAGGGCAAAGATGAAGATGAGCTCTTCACCAGGGCTCACCCGATAGTACAGCAGGCATCTGTACAGGGGGAAAGTGGGCATCTTGAAGAGCGGCCCCAGAGAGAGCTGGCTTTCTGGAGGGAGTGGGCAGAAGCTATTTAGCTGGAAAGAACCGGTCCATGAAGCAGCCATTTCCAAACACTTGCTGAATGAAGCCTGAGGACAGGCACAGTCTCAAGCTAGCAGTCACCACCCAAGGCAGCACATGACAGGAAGATAAGCCCTAAGACGCAAGCTGGAAGCTCTTGCATTTACCTTCTTTACACTCGAAGGTTCTATGAAATCATCATTCCTCTGAGAAGGAGGACACACTCCTCTGTTTCTGCATGCTGGGCCGGTCCCTAGCATACAGTGTACTTTTAGTAAAGGCTGCCAAAGACCCTACCATACCACTCAGGACAGACACACAAAGTTTCCAAGCACAAGTTAAGGAGGCCAGGCCTTTCTCTACAGTCCTCAGTTCTTCCAATGAGCTAGGACTTGGCATCAGGCAGAAGGGGACACCCACAAAGATAAAGTCAGAATTCAGTTCTGCAGAACCAGGCAGCATAATTCCAGAGGTTTCCAGGGCCAACAGGAAGATCCCTATTATAAAGAGGCCAGACTATTGATGGCATTAAGAAGGTATTGAGAGGAGAACACAGGAGCCAAAGAGTGGGTATGAGACAATCTTCCAGCAGGAAGGCTGCCAGGCAGAGAAGAGAATAAACCTAGTGTTGTAATGTTACTGTAGAGCACAAGGCATGGGGCAGATATGAATGCTGGACCTCAGCCCTCACCCCCACCCCCCACCCCCCTACATTCATGCTGTCACCAACGGCACCACCAGCCTCGGGAAGCCCTTCCCAATACCTGTCAGTCTCCTTATTCCCCAGTCTGCCTCAGATCCTCTCAACATTCCCACTGCCATCTTGTCACTAATCTAGGCAGGCAACAATATCCCTTTGCTGAAAGGAGCACACAAGATGGGAGCCCTCTAACTCCCGAACTACTTAATAGCAAGCTCCCAACACCCACTTGGCTCTTGGCCCTCCTTCTCAGGTAAGGTCCTCCACTGTTCTTCCTCCCTACCCCACCCCCCCCCAAAGTAGCTCCTGAGGACTACAAGACTTCCTTTTTTTTTTTCAGGAGGATGTAATATGCACGGTGTATATGTTCCTTTTGTGGGGAGCCCCAGGTCCTTAGTCTTCTCCTTGTTGTCCTTCCTCTAGCAGTTGTCCTTCCTCTAGCAGACTATCAAGGGACAGACAAGCTCTTTCCACCCAGAACCCATCCCTTCTTAGCCTCTCCTACCCAGCATGTAGTCCTTATATCTGAAGGAACCCTTCTCTGACCCCAAGCTGAGTGGGAGCCTGCTTAAATTTCTTTTTTTTTTTTTGTTTGTTTGCTTTGTTTCTTTGAGGCAAGGTTTCTCTTGTGTAGCCCTGGCTGTCCTCTCTCTTCCCTCCAGGTGCTGGGTTTAAGGCATGCGCCACCACTGCCCTGCCCCTGCTTAAATTTCTACGGCACTGTGAACTGTACACCATAGCTGTTGGCAAGATGGTCAGTAAGAACTGGGTGAGCCTTCTGGTCTCCATGACAGGAGAGACTCACATCTGCTGGGCTAGAGGAGACTAGGTAGTCTCATCTGGCCACAACATGCCAGTGTGCAACACTGCGGCGGCCAGGGCACAAGAGAGGACTATAGAGAGAAAGCATACCTTGAGTGGACACCCAACACTGTCCCTAGGCCCCGGGCTGCAGTGGCTATGCTCCCAGACCCCTTCAGCTAGAAGACGTCCCGTTCCCATCAGGTTCCAAACAGCAACTTTGGCAGGCACAGAGTATCAGGAACCCCAGCTGGTGGGACTGTGGTCTCACATCTGGCTATCAGGAAACCTAGGAGAACTTACTGGCCAGTACTGAGAGCCATGTGAATATGCCTGAAGCTTACCTTTTCCTTGGCTGGGATCCAATCTGCTTGACAGCCTTCTCCTCTGTGTGAAAGAGCAGGCTTCTCTGCAAGGTCGACACGAGCAGCACTTTCTGGCTATAGTCCAGCTGAACAATGGATGACGGCTCTTCCAGCACAAGGTGTGAATTGCAGACGCCCTGTGAGAGAGACAGGGCAATGGTGGGTCAAAAGCGCCAGCTTCCCCTGAAGGCTTAAGCTCACTTCTGTTAACTGTACACAACTCAAAAAGCACTCCATGGTGGCACGCATGGTGTCCACACCTATAATCTCAGCACTTGGGAGGCAGAGGCAGAGGCAGAGGCAGGCAGATCTCTGTGAGTTCAAGACCAGCCTGGTCTACAAGAGCTAGTTTCAGGACAGCCTCCAAAGCTAACAGGAAAAACCTGTCTCGAAACGCAACCCCTCCAAAAAAGAAAACAATAAATATTAACACCTGAGACAGAAACTCTTATCATCTATCTCATACCAAGGCTGAAAAGAAACCAAAAACATACATATTTTCTAATAATGTTCTAGTAACTAGTTCAAAAGAATCCATAAAAATATGACATACCATGTGTATTAAGGATCTTATGGAATATAAGAGGATGACTGTCAATGAAATCACTATGACAGTGATTGCTCTCACAGTCTCTCCACAAGCAGACTGAAGCAATCCTGTAGGTATTATACCCTTCCCAATTGGAAGGGTCACAGAAAACATGTTACAAAGAAAAGGGCTGATGGGATGGCTCAGCAGATTAAACAGGCTTATCACATAAGCCTGAAGACCTGAGTTCAATCCTAGGAGCCCGTTATTGAGGTAGAGAACTGACTCCTGAAAGTTATCCTCTGACCTTGACATGGGCTTGAATTCTCCACAACCCTCCTTACACACAGACACACACACACACACACACACACACACACACACACACGCAAGCACAGACATGCACACTCACACACACATGCACACACACACACACACACTCAGAAACACACACACACACACACTCTCTCACTCACACACTATTTATTAAACACGTGGTTAATAGCATTTTTATAGACAGTCATTTTCTAGAGAAATTTTATTGTTAATACAAAATTCATTCATGTATCAGAACTATGATTTTAATCAGGTATAGTGGTACATGCTTCTAACCCCAGCACTCAGGAGGCTGAGAGAGTTCAAAGCCAGCCTGAGCTATGTATCAATACCCGGCCTCAAACTCTTGCTTCTTGCTGTCACTCTTCACCTCAGTGGCCTTGTCTTGGTTCCACCAGCCGTCTGCTCACAGAGATGATAGGGGAAAATGAGCAACGACAACGGCAACAATTTGATCCATTGCTAAGAATAATGCTGCAAGAGCTCCGTAGACTGGCACGGGCCTTTGATCCAGCACCCAGGAGGCAGGAGGGAGGCAGACCTCTAAGTTCAAGGTCAGCCTGGTCAGCATATCAAGCTCCAGGACACGTGGGCTGCATAGAGAGACTCCATCTCAAAACAACAAACAAAAAAATAATGCCAAATCACTAACTTTCTTTTATTTTTTTTAGATTTTATTTATTTATTTGTATACAATATTCTGCTTCCATGTATGTCTGCACACCAGAAGAGGGCACCAGATCTCATAAGGGATGGTTGTGAGCCACCATGTGGTTGCTGGGAATTGAACTCAGGACCTCTGGAAGAACAGTTGGTGCTCTTAACCGCTGAGCCATCTCTCCAGCCCCAATCACTAACTTTCTATGTGTCTGAGACCCACGAATAAAATTTATACACATTAAATCCACCATTTTTAGGTTTCTCACTTCAATTTGGGCATATCTTTAAGTTATCCAACTACACTATAATCAAGATGGTGCAATTTCCATTCTCTCCAAATACTGGGAAGTTTGAAGGCAGATTTCCCCTTGAGTGAGTGAGTCAGAATGTAATTTCTGGTTTTTAACTTAGCCTATGACAGAATTACATTATACTGTATCTCAGAAAAAGAGTATTCTCTCAGGTCTTTTTTTTTTTTTTTTTTTCCCCAAATCTCATTAAGCACCTGCATCTTTTAAAATAAGTTCTCAGGGGCTGGAGAGATGGCTCAGCAGTAAAGAGCATGGTCTGTTCTTCCAGAGGACCTGGGTTTGGTTCCCAAGACCCATAGGGAGACTCACACCATCTCTAACTCCAGTTCCAGTTCACTCCAAAGGATATGATGCCCCCTTCTGGCCTCTGATGCAACACTGATACAAGTCATGCACAGACATGCAGGCAAAACATTCCTGTACATGAAATACAAATAAACCTTTAAAAAGAAATAAATAACTTTTCAAGGCGTTTCTGGACATTTCCCCCCCAATTTTATTTCCCTGAATAGTGAGGCTTGAGTGGCCTTTGCTTCTTTAGCAGTCTGATCACAGGGACAGGAGGCGACAACTCCACAGAAGCACCAGGAACAAGCAGGATCTAATAAACCTAAGATGTTCCCACAGAGCAGCAATTCTAAGTGGGGTCCCTAAGACTAAGGATCTCTCCAGGCCAAAGCTATTTTCATAGAATACTGAGATGCTGCCAAATGCCCTTTATCTTATTTTTTTTTTAATTTTAGCTTAGGTATAAGGGTGTTTTGCCTGATGTATGTCTGTATACCATGTATGTACCTGGTAGCCACGGAGGCCAGATGAGGGTGTCCAGTCCCCTGGACCTGGAATTACATCTGGTTATGACCTATTATGGGAGTGCTGGGAACTGGACCTAGGTCTTTTGGTAAAGCAGTCTGTGCCCTTAACTTGTGAGCCATTGATAAAGCAGCCTGCCTCCCTCTTAGGCTTCCGAGACATCTCCTAGAAAAGATAAACTATATTCATGCTTACGATTAAATCTATTTCTCAAAGCTTGGGCTATGCCTCACCTGTAACTCAACTACAAATGCTTCTATACTGCCTGTTCCAGGAAATGGCAACCGTGTCGTTTCTAAAGGTTGTAACGCTGCTCCTGCAATTCTGCCTATTTGCCTGACAAATCCCCCATTGGAATCCCATAACTGGGGTGCTGTAAAACCCCGTATCTTGCCCATGTTCAGTGCTGGTCTGTCTCCTGAATTCCACCTCTAAGGGGAGACAGCCCATGTACACAAATTAAAAACATTATCTGGCCTCGATAATTTGGGTTGATGGTTTTCCTTCTTGACATCTTTGGAACTAGCACCATCTCTCCATCTGCATGCCCTGAGCATCACTGCTCTTGCTTTGCTAAATGGATGTGTCATGCCCAACTCCGCGCCCTCCACATGCTTTCCCTGGAAGCATAGGAAGCACTGTGCACACAGCCACTTGCATCTCATGAACCCTGACCACAGTACCAAACTCTACCAACGGCATCATCCCCACCACACACTCACTAAGCATACTACGACATCTTGATGAAAAACAAAAAAACAAAAAGGTAATTTCCCCCATAAGAAACGGTGGTTTAGCACTGGATGTGACCAAGTGGGTTTTGCACACACAGACCTCCTGCAGAGTGAAGCACACTGGGTCTCAGGGAGAAGAACCGGTGCAGGTGGTGGAGGAGATGATGATGGTGATGGTGGTGATGGTGATGATGGTGATGGTGGTGATGGTGGTGATGGTGGTGATGGTGGTGATGGTGGTGATGGTGGTGATGGTGGTGATGGTGGTGATGGTGGTGATGGTGGTGATGGTGGTGATGGTGGTGATGGTGGTGATGGTGGTGATGGTGGTGATGGTGGTGATGGTGGGTGATGGTGATGATGGTGGTGATGGTGATGGTGGTGGTGATGGTGATGATGGTGGAGGAGGAGGTGATGGTGGTGATGGTGGAGGTGGAGGTGATGGTGATGGTGGTGATGGTGGTGGTGGTGGTGGTGGAGGAGGTGGTGGAGGATGGTGATGAGGGTGATGATGGAGGTGGTGATGGTGATGGTGGTGGTGGTGATGATGATGGTGATGATGGTGATGATGGTGGTGGAGGAGGTGGTGGAGGTGATGGTGATGGTGGTGGTGGAGGTGATGGTGATGGTGGAGGTGGTGATGGTGATGGTGATGGTGGAGGAGGGGATGGTGAAGGGGATGAGGGGGGAGAGAGGGGGGGTGGGGGTGGTGG